AAAAAGGACTGTGGCACTTTTTGCATTGGGTGATGCAAAGACACAAAACTAAGAATTGGCGTGTTGTTAGTAGCAATAAAGCGGAGCAGGTGGGATTTCATGCTTACAAAGAACTAATAGTCCTAGGTTGCAAAGGGTCCACTGATGCATTTCTTGCGGCAAAGCGCGAGTCATTTCCTAAAGGCCCCGGGCTGCGAGGGAAGTCCAACAACGCTTTGATGTCTTCTGATCTGCAAAATGACCCCTGGAGCTCAGGCCCGCCCTCTGTTCGCGGCCCCCATCTCCACTTAGCATAGATCGATGGAGTTTACGCTACTCTTCCCCAGGCACAGGGCTGAGAAGGGCGGGGCGCCAGAAAGTTTCTTTCCCGTACCCGGGCGCCGGGAGGGGGGGAGCTCTTTGGGAGAAGGTTCCTTGCTGCCACGCTTTCGCCGGGAGCGTTCCTGTTCTGTGTGGTACGGTCTGTCAGTCAAGCAATCGAGAAAAACAACTTTGCGGAACGGAAATGCGCCTTGGCTAGTCCCCGCGGCCACAACCCCCGGGGTGTGGGTAGGAAATTGGTCCCGGTCATTCCCGGGCTACATTTCTCTTTACCTGTGTCACTGTCAAAGTCTCCTCTTCCCCAGTCTCCACCCCGTCCCCCCCCCCCCCCCAATAGCGGGCACGCTGCTCTGCATCGTAGAGAGCGCTGCTTGCACTTTACCGATTATTGAAATCAGTTTGGGAGGAGCGGTGAAAAGACTCAAACTTTTGGAAGGGACCCGGACGTGTGCACGGGCATTGGTGCCTCTCGCTTGCAGAGGGACCTGCACCTGCCCATTCCCGGAATCGATAGCGCTGTCTGCTCCCTGCCTGCGCCTCCTTCTCCAACAGAGGGGGCAACGCGAGCTCACCAGAGAGCCCGGCAGCCGCACAAAAGGCATCTTGGAGGGTTAACCAGCCTCAGCCTCCCCCCCGCCCCCCCTCCATATGAACGAGGAGAGACAAAGCTCAGTAGAAACAAATCAGCCAAGCCTGCGGACTTTGGCGTAGGAAAAGGACGGGCGGGAGCCAGCCGGGCTAGTCCAGAGCCTTAAGAGACTCCGCGGTGACTTGGAGGCGCCTGTAATAGGAGGAAGAAAGCGGGTTTTCCGGAGCAGTCTTGTGTGACAGCGGGACTGAGGACCAGCGCCTGGATTTTTGCCCCCCCCCCCATTTCTTGGGAGTCCCTCCCTGGGAAAAAAAAAAGTGCTGCCCACCAAAGAGGCAGGCGAAGCTCCTGCTCCGTGTCGCACTCGCATGCTCCCATGGAGAGTCTCTCTCTCGCTCTCGCCTTCTCTGCTCTCATTGAGAAATCCACGCTTCTCTTTTCCAGGATGCTGGGATGTGAGATCTAACTGAGAAATCGTCGTCTTTGCTTTTTTCTTTTTTGGTTTGTTTGGTAGAGCAGTCGCTCTTGGTACTCCCTGTGGACTGAAGAGAGAGAGGAGGGTGGGCATTTTCGTGGAGGTTCAATGGATATGAACTTGGGGGCTTTGGAATCTCTCTGGTTTGGAATATCTATATGCTGATTGTCTTGTGGAGTGGCAAACGGAAGCTCGCTTGGGGGAACGGGCTGCGAAAGAGAAAGATGTCTCTGGCCACCTTCTACTTCGTGTTGCCCCTAATGGGTAAGTGTCTGGAGTACCAACGCTCTGTACGGGGCTCCATAAAGCCCGGTGCGGTGCTGGTTTAGTGCACCCTAATATTTGCTGATTGCCAGCTTGCTCTTTTAAGAGAGAACAGTGAAGTTTTCTGTAGGGTGGTTTTGGGGGTTTTTTTGCCTCTCATCCTTTTGCATGAGCTGTGCCCAGGTAAAGCTCACAAAGGTACTGTCTGCTGCATTAAACTGGATTTTTGCAAGTTGGAAGGGAAACTTTCTGATAATTGCTCGTCTTTGCTAACTTAACAGGAGGGGAAGTGGGGATCCTCTTTCATAAGAGAAACACATTGTTTCTTTGCTAAGCTGTGATTCTCCAGAATGGGTTGGCGAGTCTCAAATCTGGACCGCTTTGACAATAGGCGTGATGTGTATGTGTGTGTACACATCCCTGCATGTTCTTGTCAGCAAGAAAGGAAATAAGGGAGCATGTTGACTGCAGTTTCCCTTGCCTTCTGCAATGAAATCTTGGTGGTTGGAGAGAAATCTGGGAACAAAAATAAATGTCAGTTTTTACCTTTCCAGTGGAAGATGTCGTAAGCACAGCCTTTCAAAGGAGGCTGGTGGAGTGTGAAGCAGCCGGTGTGAATCAATCAGTGGGGAGACCATTCTCATCTGGCGGTTTGTGAATGTAGAGATTGAAATCACAGCAAAGCCTTTGTGGAAACTGAGCTTGCCACTGGTGTTTTATGTGTATGAAGGGAAAGTGTATTTAATTGAGGCAAGAGAGGAATAAAATCTTTTACTGTGCAAGTTAACCTCTGTGGTATTTTTCTAGCCTCAAGTCAGCCAAGCAGGCTTCTCTTCAGCTAAAAGTAGTTACTTCTCTGTGAACCCCTAAGGAAGAGGATCCGGGGAACAAAAGCTTAGTTATCCTCCCAAACTCTTTGGCTTGTTCAGTGGGGAGTGGGACTGGGGGGGGGGGGAGCTGGCTCTACTGTTGACTACTGAGATGTTCATTTGTTAGGAAGAGAGCTAGGAGCACTTGGTTATTCAGCTGCTTGAAGGATGCTCAGCTTTTCAGGGACTCCCTGAGAAAAGAAACTAGACTAAAGCTTGCGTTCTTTCTTTGCCTCTGGAACTGTTTTCGTTCAACAGCCGTTCTTCTTGCTCTTTTCGAGCCTCCCTGGATGGATGCCTCTGTCCTCGCAGTCTCCCAGGGACTTTTCCTGATGTCTTTTGCTCTCTTTTCATTGTAGAAGTGCTCTTGTCCGCAGAAGTGAGCGGGCTGCTTGGCGGGGAGCGTCTCGACTGTGTGAAAGCCAGCGACCAGTGTCTCAAGGAGCAGAGCTGCAGCACGAAATACAGGACACTAAGGCAATGTGTAGCTGGCAAAGAGAGCAACTTCAGTCGGGCAACAGGCCTGGAGGCCAAGGACGAGTGCAAAAGTGCCACGGAGGCTCTCAAGCAGAAATCACTCTACAACTGCCGCTGCAAGAGGGGCATGAAGAAGGAGAAAAACTGCCTCCGTATTTACTGGAGCATGTACCAAAGCTTACAGGGTATGTTGCAAAACGGTCCCCGTTTTCCTTCATTAAGAGGGGTCTTTCCTCTGACTGACATTTCCCCCCCTCAGGTGACTTCCTCATTCCCCTTGTGTTCTTCAGCTGCAAAGGAAGGACCATTTTCGTGTCGCCCAGCATGAGCAGCTGTTGCTGCTGTGTCCGCCTGTTGTTGGGAAATGCAGAATAAAAGATTTCCTCCAGGGGGACTCAGTTGACCTTTGTAAACTGAAGTCAAAAGACTAGGGTTTTAACAAGCGCAAAATCTACAAGGCCCTCTGCGAGGTTCTGTGCTTCCCCGCCCCTCTTTACTGGAGAAGGGTCTTAAGCATTTGTTAATGAGATCTAACTTCAGGGGTCACTCCTCAACCACCCTGTCAAACCAGGGTTAATTGTTTCCTAGCTGCCCCGCAGAGTCTGTGTTTAAAAGTAGCTTCCTTTCCATGCTTGTGAACATCCACACATCCCAGGAGGGAAGAGATCTTTTGAGAAAGGGTGGGTTTTTTTGTACTTCAGGTAACATTCAGGGGCCGTGTGAGGACAGCGTACTAATAGTTCAGTATTAGAGCAGTGAACTTGCCAGCATTGATTCCTGCTACAATAGGGCTGCTAATACAATTTTGAACTCTGACCCTTGGTTGATGAAGAATGAAGGGCCCTGTACTGTGGTCCTTGTGATCTTAATGTGCCTTTTAGATAGTCCGTTTGTCTGTCTATCTATCTAGTCGTTGATGCTCCCATACCTGTGGGGCGTTATTGAAATTGATATTTTATTCAGTCACAACATACAACAATGTAATGGCTTTGGATTTATTTGCTGTTGCTTTCACACTAAATTGTTATTACTGGATATTTCTGACTATATTGCTTCCTATCACTCTTTACCACAGAATTGTTACTTTCAAAGTATTTAGGCTTTGTTGGCTGTTCTTTGGCCAAGTAACAGATTATTACAGTTAAATGCAAAGTAAATCGTGATTGTGAGTATACAGGGCAATCCCCCCCCCCCATCTACCTCTTCTCCCCTGTAATTGGCCATGAAGGCAGGACAGCCACAGGTTGATATTTTCTTTTTGATTTCATGTTAGGGGATGTCAAAAAAGAGTTACTGACAAGAAGCATCTCTCTAAAAGTGAACTTTGAGAACAACAACTGTTAAGACTTGTAAAGAAACCAGATTTTAATGTCATCTGGTGTAGCATAGGTACACAGCATAGCACAGTATAGAAAATCTAAAAAAGATCCTCTGATGAGTAATTATTTTGAGGTGACCAAACTGTTGAGCATTTGGTGTGGTGGTTTCTGTCATCCATAAGGCTGACAGAGGGGCAAGAGGAGGCTTCTGATAGAGTCCCGTACAAAGGGAGTGCAAGGGGGTGAGAACTGGCCAACGTCCTGGAGAGGAGACTGTGGTCAAATTGGGAGAAGAATCAGCAGTTGACTGGTGGGATGTGTATTGTGGACAGGAGCAGGCTAGCGCTTCTGTACATATTCAGGTTTCAAAACGTAATAAAGTGCTAAGGGAAGATCCTCATATTTTTTATTATCTTTAGGAAATGACTTGCTTGAAGAGTCACCTTATGAACCAGTTAACAGCAGACTATCGGACATAATGAGACTAGCACCAGTTCTGTCAGGTAAATGCTTTTATGATTGTTGTACTGCAATTTGGGCTACTAGTCAGTCATTTCTGAGTGGCTAACGGAAGTTTCCCCAGGATATGGGGTAATATTTCTTTTTTTCTATTTAGAAATCAGCCCAGCTGGATTTTGGGCTTAGAAAATATAAACTAGAGCAAGGCTGCAAACGAAGTACTGTCTGTTCTGTGAAATCTGTTGGCACGAACTCACTTGGTCTTGTATAATTGTTAGATTTTATAAGCCACAGACTGTGGGTGAGACCGCACGGCCTGTTCATCATTTGGTGATTGCCGTGTCAGCATGTGCAAAACAGCATCACAGGCCCAGCTCCACAGAGGGAGCATTCTTGTCAGCTGACATCATTGCAAATGCAGTGCTTTCCTGGAGAAGTGGTTCATACACTTATTTGTGAGTCATGAGGTGCTGAGGCATCCAATGACATACACGCATGTGTGAATAAGCCACTGTGTCATTGGTCTTTTATGGGAAATAATCATTTACTTTTTTCCAGTATATGTAACTGTCATTTGAGCCACTTATTGTAGTATTCTGTACACGTAGAATGTAAAAAGAGCATGTCGTAATTCTAATCCTGAAAAAAAACCCTGTAAACCCCCCTCCCACTTCATTCAGTTCCTGGAATGGGAAAACAAAAGAACAGCTAAACACACCTGTAGGTGGCAATCTGATTCTCTGCCTTCAGAATTTAAAATGCCATCGTTATTTGTTAATGTAGTCTATGCAAGACTGAGACAAAGGCAAATGTTATCATCCTTTTAACTGCCGTAGGAGAGGCTAAAATGAGTGCCTTGTTCATTATAGATATTGAATTAAGACTTTTCCATTTTTTTGAACTATTAGCCAGTTTGGTGTAGTGGTTAAGTGTGCGGACTCTAATCTGGGAGAACTGGGTTTGATTCCCCACTCCTCCACTTGCACCTGCTGATGTGACCTTGGGTCAGTCACAAGCTCTGGCACAGCTGTCCTTGAAAAAGAGCAGTTTGTGTCAGAGTTGTCTCAGCCCCACCCACCTCACAGGGAGTCTGTTGTGGGGAGGGGGAAGGGAAAGGAGTTTGTAAGCCGCTCTGAGACTCCCTTGGGTAGTGAAGGGCGGGGTATAAATCCAGTCTCTTCTTTTTCTTCTTCTTTAATAGTTCTTTCACTTGATCTGCTTTCAAAAAGTCTCTTTTGTGTGATTACCCGGAGTAAGCCTCACAGTAATTATATAGAATGGAATGGGGCACACTGCTTGTGCTTCAAGACTTAAATTGCATTTCTTCTGGATCAGTAATGTTTACTGGCACCACATATTTTAAGCCTCACTGGAACCTTGCAGTTTAAGTTAATATTCAAGTCTAGAATTCACTGCCTGTGTGAAATACAACATTTCTCTTGTAAACTGATGATATCATACCTAAGTCTAGGAAGCCACTGTCACCCTCACATGCTTGCACTGAAGTGTTCATTTCCTTGGTGAAGATAGCAGCTCCTTTGGCCAGACCTTACTAGAGAAAAAGCCTAAAACACTAGAGAAACCAAGTGCCAGGATAAATGGTACAGAGAGGAAATTGTTTCTTGAAGGCAATCCAAATAAGTAATAGATGCCAGTTCTGTCTGAATAAGCCAATGCAAACCTTGCATACAGAGCTCATAGTTCCTTTTTAATCTCTTTAAGATAAAATTTTGATCTGTCTTTTAAAATTAAAGACCAATTCAGGTGCCTTTTCTGCCTCAGATCTGATCTGTTTCTTTTAAAATATTTTTTTTTTTTGGTTCAGGAGTTAGATACCATAGCTGTCTGCTGCAGCAGTTACGTAATAGACACAAGACTTTAACAGCTGTAATTATTCTGCAGCTGATTATCTGTTCATTCAGATTGGATCTGTTTTATATTATTCCACCTGGTATTTCCACTCATTTAAGTGGAAGGTTCAGATCTGCAAGATTAGTTTGAGAGAGAAGGATATACCATAGACTGTTCATTGACTTAGACTTTACAGTGGGTATGGTAAAAATTTTCAGATAATTTGAAGCTATTGAAATCTGCAACAGTAGATTAGGCTGCGGTCACACGAGCAATTTATCACGACATAGTAGCATTACCTGTGCGGGTTTAAAGGGCTCGATCAGACAACATCTGCCTTCTGTGGCCTACTCGTTGGCAGCCCGTCTGCTCCGCGTTAGAACTGGAGTAATTAGGCACCGGGGAAAGTCCAGTAGTAAGGGATGGTAGCATTTCCACTCCATTTTGTTTGACATCTGAACTCTTCCAGCATGAAAGGAACCTGGAAGAACCTGTCTCATTCATGGGTTGCAGAGCTAGCTAACAGAAGCAGTTGTTCGGTTATGCACTTGTGCGCATGCGCAGTGGTGATTTTTAAAAAAGCTCCCTCTAGAACAGCATGTCTTGTGGCTGACGCGCAATACTACTGTGGATGCTTGACCATGGGACGGCTGTGGATGTAACCTGCAGCAGGGTGTGCTGTCTGGTTTGGTATGCCCCGCAACACTTTAAGCCGGTGCAATTAGAGGCGCTGCCATATCACGCCAAGCTGCCCATGTGACCGCAGCCTTAATGATGCTTTTACTGCATAGCTATATTAATTCCTTGAAGCCCTGCACACTTTACTGTTTCTGGCTCACTGCCTGTATAACAGGCAGTGAATATATACTGTTTTGATTTTTGCTGATCTGATTAGCAAAACTTGCTTAAGGCAAGGGTTATATCTGCTCTTCTGCCAAACCTGGTCAGTGTTTACTTTGCTGTAAGTATGATTTTTATATATACAGGGGTTACACGAGTGTTCAGTTTTGTGTGCCTTCTGTGTAGCTTTTCTTTACTTTGATCAGAGCAAATTCATTAATAATTTAGTAGAGGCAGTTTGGGAAATCTGCATAACTGCCTTTAATGATAATTATTGAATGAACAATTGACTGAGGAAAGTGAATTGGTCATTCCTCTTATTTAGCATACATTTCTTCAAACAAATAGGTCTCTGGATGAACTCAGCAGTCTTCACACTTGCATATATGCAATTTTTTATGAAACTGTCTACAGAATAAGGTTGTTCTGTAGCTACAGATGCATTCATGCAAGTTTGTGATGCAGCAGTTAAAAAGGAATCTTATGCTGTGCACGTGGGGCTCAGTGATGCAAGCTCTGTTTTTAAACATGCTTTACTGCCCCATTTGGTGGATATAGTGTATGAGATCAAGGAGAGGCAGAATCATGCTACTGATCCTTTGATTGTTGTGTGTGCAAGAAGCCACCAGCATCTGCCCTATGGAGGGAAGCGGTTTTAAGTGAGAGTTCTTCATATAGCAGGGTAGTGCAAGTTGTAATGGCTCCACTGCCATGAGAGGGTCATGTCCCAGGCAGACCCCATCCTTTTGCCCTAATTAACCAGGTGCAGAATGGTGGGGTGGTCAGAGTACTGGTCCAAGACTTGGGAGACCAGGTTCAAATCTCCGTTCCCCCATGGAAGCTCATTGGATGACCTTGGCAGGCTACTCTCATCCTAATCTATCTCACAGGGTTGTTGTGAGGATAAACTGGAGTGGGGGAGGATGATGTTGTAAAGCCAGTGTGGTGTAGTGGTTAAGAGCAGCAGGACTCTAATCTGGGAGAACTGGGTTTAATTCCCCACTTCTCCACATGCAACCAGCTGGGTCAGTCACAGTTCTCTCACGAGCAGTTCTCTCAGAGCTCTCCCAGCCCCACCTACCTCACAGGATGTCTGTTGTGGGGAGCGGAAGTAAAGGAGATAGTAAGCCGCTTTGAGACTCCTTTGGGTAGTGAAGGGCGGGGTATAAAACCAACTCTTCTTCTTCTAAAGCTACTTTGGGTTTCATTGAGGAGAAAAATGGGGCATAAATAAATTTAAGATAGGAATAAATACATTGTATGAAGTTTTGAGAACATCTAGTGCTAGATCCTATTCAAATGGATGTTAACTGAAACTTATAAATACAGAATGCTATATTTTAGCATTTGAATTAACACTGTGCCTTGTGGAAAGAAGCAGAAGGATATAAGTCAGTGGTTCTCAACCTTCCTAATGCTGCGACCCTTTCATACAGTTCCTCATGTTGTGGTGACCCCCAACCATAAAATTATTTTCGTTGCTATCATAAGACCATCGAAAATTTGTGTTTTCCGATGGTCTTAGGCGACCCCTGTGAAAGGGTCGTTTGACCCCCAAAGGGGTCGAGACCCACAGGTTGAGAACCGCTGAATACCAAAACCATTGAGGTAAATAAGCGGCCTCACTTTATTGATGTTACAGTCAGGCCTGTATAACTACAGAGAGGAGGCCTGCTTGTCACAAGCCCATGGCCCGATGTACAGGCCACTTGGCCACTGAACCAAGGGTTTTACAAGCCTTGTAGATTTTATCTTCAGCGCATACAGCAGAATGCATGTTGATGCCTTGAACTGAAGAGGCTTCCCTTTAAGCTTGCTTTGAATTGGATATAATGTCTATTGAAATAGAACTTTTGGCCATTGATTGGTTGGTTGCTGCCTGAAGTTCTAAACTGTAGCTTTGCATTGTATTTTTAATTGCCTCACTTGGCCTTGTGGACATGTCTGTAAGCCACCAGGGGCTAAATCGGAAAAGCAGGATATAAATTAATAAATAAAAAAAGATTTTTGCCAAGAGAACCATGGATGGAATTTTCTCTGAAGCCGCATGGGAGCTCCTCTGGTATGAGCCCATGCTGCTGGGTATTGTGTCTGACAGAAGCAACACTGTGGGCCTCATAAATGTTGTGGATTGTTCCCAATTGACTAGGGAGCAGTTGGGTAATAATCTGCCCATTCACTTGACTGCTTCTCTCATATTCTCCAGCTGTGGGGTGGTCACATGTGTGAGGGTACAGGGGCTTTTAAATTCATCCAGTCTTCCAGTTCCATTCAGATGCTTTAGATTTGGTTTTTGCTGTCAGCAGTTGAGCTAACTGCTCACAGGATTCCCATAAATGAAAACCAATTATTT